TGTGTGTGTGTGTGTGTCCGTGTGTGTGTGTGTGCATGGGTGATTTCTTCTTTGCATGCACATGAGCAAATATTAGTTTGTTCACAGTAATGGCTCACAACTTATGAATTTGTACTTGGATCTAGGTAAAACGAGAATAGCTGTGTGAATACGAATAGGATAGAATGATACCAACCGAGTAATACTGTGTGCCTACAAAATAGGACCATAAAATACATGCACACAACGAAAATCAAATTGTGCCACGAGTGTCTGTACGTGTATGGTGAATTGATATTGTCCTTAATATTGTACAGAGCGCCTTTTAGCCGCTCCAATGTAACCTTTTGTGACACATATCCGTACATTTTCCTTGCTCTTGAGTTACCTTTTTAATGATGATGTCGACAAACGAAGGAGCAATGGTCGAGTCAGTACCGTGAGAGAAATGACAGATGGTGCTATGAAAGTGTGTGACTCTTATCGTGGTAATCGAAAGTACTAAGTAATTACCTGCCAAAGCCCACTGATGGCTACAAAATTAGGTGCGCTATCAGCCAAACTGTTTGTGGTGTGAAGAGATGAATGGTATAGTAGCACAACTGGACGGTCGTGTAGCGGTCAAGCGCTTAACCCTCGGACGCAGGATTCAATAACAATTCTGCAGAATACAACTCCCCAACAGAAAGACAAGGCTATTCAATAACAATTCTCCCCACTTGGAAATCGAACTCAAGCCTTCTGCGTGCGACGGCGAAGCGTCTTATACAACGCCATAGGCACCGGTACCATCAGATTACCGAATTATAGTCTATGCTTGATGAAATAAAGTTACAAATTATGGACAGTTCAACTGCGAGCCTCAGTTCAGTCCGACGTTGCGCCATAAAGGCACTCTACTCGAAATACCTGTTTGGCTCGGTAACTCGGAGGTGACGCCTCTTAAATAACATAATAATGTTGATAGGGGAGTTAAACCTAATCCATTTCTTTTTTTTTTCAAAGTTCAATTGTTATTCGAAGTCATGTATCCCCTGAAGGTTCACGTACATGACTCCATGATATCTACTATGACCGGCCTGTTCTTTGCAAATCAATAACATTTTCCTTCCTCCGGGAGGCATACAGCTACCCTAGGATTATAAAGTTCTACCAGCTCAGTACCAAGATCTAGTTTTGAGAAATTTGACGTAAATATTTTTTTTGTTTCACAACATGTCAAGATTCTACGAATGCAATACTTCTAATATCTTGATAACGACAAGCAACAACCTAACGATTTTGATAGAGTAGATAGAACATTTGGTTTCTGACATTATGGTCTTAGTAGCTCAAAGCAGCCAAAAATGTCAGATAGAACATTGTAATACTAAGGTAGCTAGCTCTACGACGGTAAGTCGTGTTGGGGAAATACCAGTATCACTCTCGTGTCCCCCCTCTTCCGATTGCCTTGTACCAATCTGGGTAAAAGTCCCCCCCCCCCTCTTTTCCCAATCTTCTGCCTGGGTGTTGCATCCCTCTCAGTCCAGGTTGACCCTGACAGGCAGGGCCGGAGCCTGTATCCCAGATGATCTCGATCTGTAATATATCTGTCGTTGCGGGTGTAAAAACACTTCATAAAAAAAAAAAAGAGAAACGGTTAGAAGGGGGGGGGGGTAAAGAATGAATAGGCCCTACCTCTCTGTCGATGAGAAAAAAATGTGGCACCCTCATTTGGATGTTTGTGCTTCTCAAAGCCACATTTTGCAAACAGCCCAAACATACATGTTTGCCTTCTTACGATTCGAAAGTCAATATTTATTATTTTAAAAACTGAAACAAGAAGGGTTTAGAAGGA